ATCATCAAACTTAAACAGGTAACAACCCCTTGCCAAAAGATATATGTTTCTGACGAAACTGTAATTGTCTAACTTGCAAACATACTCGAGCAGGATCATCCCTCAAACATGATCTTACAACTTTGTCCACACATTCATCGCTTAATACTAGCAATAACAAAGAATACATTGCCATTATGGATGATTTTTATTTTTTCAAATGACAGTTGATTTTCATTGAGGTTTTTGCGTTTGTTCTGGGTAGATTTACGGACACCACGACCACATCACAAGTAACATTTCTTCTGCATTAGTAGAAATCTCATCCCTTGTTTGTGCCCTTTCAGTTTTTAAAGATGGCACCTGTAAGTCATATGGAACATTCCGTTCGATGAATCGATTATCATCATCGTCGTCACTCTCCATGGACGCTGGAGCTTCGAGGTCTATATCCAAGGGCACCTTAACACTAACCCTTTCTCTACTAGACTCTGCTACCTGAAGATCTTTGCAATCATTAGCAGAGGAGTTCTAATCAATGAAGACTCGCGCGGACACAGGCACCCTGATCTTATTTCTCCAGATTATCGACATTCAGTTCGTCAGCAGAAACCTGATCCGGTTCGCATGATATGTTTATGTCGATCATTCTCTCCAATCTTTCAATGTCAGCATTCTTCCCTTCAGGCTGGGAATCAAAGTTTTCTGAAGTCCAAGCAACGGATGACAGCTTGATTTCTGGAACAACCGTTTCGAATATGGGGAACACAAGACGCTGCTTCACTGTTCGAGTCTCAGTCTCAACGATCTCGTTTTTTCCTGCACTTTTGGAGCCACTTGAAACCAATGCACTCTTCAGAGTAAAATACTGATAGAGATCCCCAGCATTCAGATTAACACAAGTCGGATTATCTTTTCCGTCCTTGTTAAGATCTTTCATGATCACAACCTCGTCTGAATTTTGCAACACAAAAAGTTTTGACTTACCATCCAATCCAGTCAATGCTTTAAATATTCCTTGCAATATTTCCTTTATACCCAAAGTCAAGATCAATCCTCTCAGACAAATGAAGAAATATGCTCCACACCATTAATACCTAAAGTCAAGAAATCTCCAGCAGAATCCTAATTGGACTTCCCTTATTTCATCTATCCAACAAAAGCATCCAAAACGAACAGAGTAAAATAAAACAAGAAACTCAACTATTCATGACGAAATTGAAAATGAAACCAGCAAAACCCAAGCAGATAACCCTAATCGGGAGAGAGAGTGTGTGAAAAAGAATTAGGGACGGAGGGATTTATGGGAAGAAGAAAGAACAAAACCCTAGTCAACACTTTCATTCTCTTATTCTATTATGGTTCCCCTTATCCTTTACCTATTTTTATAATGTTGAAAAGAAGTTTCTAGATATTTTATATTTTTTTAATGCTTTATAATATTTATTTATTTCTGTCAATTTATTCTAGATTCTTCTATACATTTTGTATATGTATTTTCGTCATAAATAATTTACCTAATATTGCAATTCAATACTTTCAAATAGTACTATTAAAGAAAAGTTATCAGAAATATAAGTATCTTAAACAATATTATTAATCCTGATTCAAAGTGTTTATTATTATTCAGTAGTTTCTAAATTGCGTCTGTTTGTAAAGGTGTCAGTTTCTCATCTGTTCTTTGGTATTTGTATTTTCTTTGAGAATAATAAGAAAAACCTTTTGATTCTAGTTTTCCTTTGCAATTGTTGTTTGAATTATTCTAATTCCAACATTGTGGTATCAGAGCCAGCGACAACTAGCAGATCAACAGTGCTTCGCAGCCTTAAATTCCAATATTTAAAGGTGAAGCGTATGAATATTGGAGCATCAAAATGAAAACATTGTTCAAGTTTCAAGATCTATGGGATTTCGTCGAACATGGCATACCAGCATCAGGTTCAAATGAGGGATAAGCAAAGGAAAACAAAAAGAAAAAGGCAAAAGCCCTTTTCTTTATTTAACAGGCACTCGATGAATCGATTTTCCCAAGGATTGCAGCAGCAACCTCGGCGAAAGAGGAGTGGGATATATTGAAATTAGAGTTTCAAGGCTCTGCCAAGGTCATTACGGTCAAAACTACAATCACTCAAAAGAGAGTTTGAAACCATAAGTACGAACAGAAGTGAAACTGTGCAAGAGTACATGACTCGAGTTTCCTAATTACAGGTCAAATGCGTTCCTATGGGGAGGAGATTAAAGAGGAAGTAATTGTTGCAAAAATTCTGAGAAGCCTTACACCTAAATTCGATCATGTAGTAGCAGCAATAGAAGAGTTGAAAGATCTTAAATCTTTCATGTTCGTTGAGTTGATGGGTTCACTGCAAGCACATGAAGTGAGAATCAACTGTAGCAATGTCGATGATGAAGATAATGCATTTCAAGTTCAAGAAACACACAATGGTTCATTCCCAAATCGTGCAAGAGGAAGAGGCTTCTTTCGAGGTCGTGGACACGGTAGGAATCAACGAAGTTTTGTACAATGTACATTTTGTAAAAAGATTGGACATAAGGAGGATGATTGCTGGAGCAAAGCAAGCCAGGCTACATATGCTGAAGAAGAGAATTATCAAGATGAACTTTTATTTATGACCTATGTTAGTGGGAACAAGCTGTCTAAGGAAGTGTGGTATTTGGATAGTGCGTGCTCGAATTATTTAACATGAGAGAAAGGAAAAATCAAGGATTTGGATGAATCATTTCGATCTCAAGTTAAGCTTGGTGATGACAAAAATGAAGGAAAATGAGTTGTGAAGTTGCAGGTTGGTGGTGAGGAAAAATTAATTAAAGATGTATATTATGTACTTGGACTTGCGCACAACTTGATAAGCATTGGACAACTTGTAGACGATGGATATTTAGTTACGTTTCAGAATGGATCATGTTGTATAAAAAAAGGAATATCAGAAATTTGCTCAATCGATATGTCAAATAATAGGATGTTTCCTACTAAATTCTCTAGCATCCAAGCTCGAGTGAATGGTGAAGTTGATAACTCTGCATTATGGCATGAAAGGCATAGTCATCTTCACATTAAAGGACTTCAACTCTTAGAACAGAAGAATATGGTGGAAGGACTCCCACGTATTCATGATTCAAACAACGTTTTCGAGGGCTGCGCTCTCGGCAAGCAAAGCAGACAATCGTTTGCTTTCGGAAAGGCTAGAAGGGCAGCAAATCAACTTGAGCTTGTTCATGCAGATGTCTGCAGGCCAATGAAAACATAATCTCATTCTAGAAGTAAGTATTTTTTGTTATTTACAGATGACTTTTCGCGCATGAGTTGGGTTTATTTTCTGAAGCTAAAGTCTGAAGTATTTGATTGCTTTAAGAAATTCAAAGCCTTAGCTGAAAGACAGAGTGATTGTGAATTGAAAATATTAAGATCTGATCGAGGAGGAGAATTTCTTTCTAAAGAATTCACTGCATTTTGTGACAAGCATGGAATCAGACATAATTAACAGCTCCATACACGCCACATCAGAACGGCGTCCCTGAAAGGAAAAATCGCACTATTGTTGAAATGGCATGGTCTATGATTAAATCTAAAGGTCTCTCGGATTATTTTTGGGCTGAGGGAGTTGCAACAACAGTCTATTTGGCCAAAATATCTCCAACTAAATCCGTATGGAATCAAACACCTTTCGAGGCATGGTACGGATACAAGCCTTTTGTGAATCATCTAAGGGTCTTCGGTTGTGTTTGTTATGTTTTGGTGGCTGCTGGGAGCCATAAGCTCGAACAGAAAGCAAAAAAAGGTATCTTTGTCGGATATTGCACATACTCAAAGGCTTATCCCTTATTTGATCCCGAGAACAAGAAATTAATTGTTAGTAGAGATGTTAAGTTCGATGAAAAAGAAACTTGGGATTTAATGGTAGAAAAATTGAAGCCAAGTTTACGTTCAGAGGCTGAGATAGAGCTATCCAACAACAATAAGGAAAATGAGGAATTTATAGTTCAAGAAAATCATGTAATCTCAGTAGCAGCAGCAGATACAACAAGAGCACCAGCAGTACAGACAACAACTGTAGCAGCAACGACAGGTCCAACAGTGTACCCGTCTTCTACTCCTTCATCATTCGATTCCTCATCACTTGTTTTCCTGGAAAACAAACAAAGGTCTCTTAATGATATACATGCATCCACGTTTGCACTCTTTGTTGGAGAACCTACTACCGTAGAGGAAGCCTTGCATAATGAAGTTTGGAAAAAGGCAATGGAAGAAGAAATAATGGCCATTGAGAGAAACTGGACATGGGAACCGGTAGATTTTCCAATTGAAAAAAAAAACACCAATCAGCTTGAAATGGCTATTTAAGACTAAATATAATTCTGATGGTAGTGTGCAGAAGCACAAGGCAAGACTAGTGGCGAGAGGATTTACTCAAGAGCAGGGCATTGATTTCAATGAAACATTTGCTCATGTGGCGAGATTTGATACAATACGGGTTCTTCTTTCCTTGGCTACTCACCATCAGTGGGTGATATATCAATTTGATGTAAAATCTGCCTTTCTCAATGGAGATTTAAAAGAATAAGTTTATCTACAACAGCTCGAAGGATTTATTGTGCATGGGGAGAAAAATAAAGTATATCACTTGAACAAAGCTCTTTATGGACTCAAGCAAGCTCCGAGAGCTTGGTACAACAAGATAGATGAATTTCTCCAATCAAGTGGATTTGAAAGAAGTTTGAGTGAACCGACATTGTATATAAAGAAATAAAGTCTCGGGAAAATTGTCATCATCAACATTTATGTTGATGACATTATATATACAGGTAGACCTGCAGCATCAGTTGATGAATTCAAAAGAATTATGATGAATCATTTTGAGATGATTGATTTGGGAAAATTACATTTTTTTCTTGGGCGGGAAATCAAGCAGGTTCCAGAAGGTGTGTTTGTTTTTCAAAGAATTTATTTGTCTGATGTGCTCAAGCTACTTGACATGGATTAATGTCTCGCTGCTTCTACTCCAATGAATCCAAATGAAAAATTGAGTAGTGATGATGAAACTGGTTTCGCGGATGCAAGCAAATTCAGGAGCTTGGTAGGAAGGTTAGTTTATTTAACCCACACGCGACTTGACATTGCATTTCCAGTTGGATTAGTTTCCAGATTTATGCATCGTCCAAGCAAACAACACTACGGTGCAGCAAAACGGATCTTACGTTATCTTGCTGGTACACGAGACTATGGGATATGGTATACACAAAGTAAGGATTTCATTCTTGAAGGATTCACCGATAGTGATTGGGCAGGATTCCCCGATGACAGGAAAAGTACCTCCAGAAATTGTTTTAGTTTCGGAGCAGGTCCAGTGTCATGGCTTTCTAAAAAACAATCAACTGTTGCCTTGTCATCTGCAGAGGCCGAGTATGTAGCCGCTGCAACTGCTGCATGCGTCTGGTTAAGAAGAATCCTTGAAGATCTAAATCAAGTGTAGAAAGAACCAACTGTGATATATTGTGATAGTTCATCAGCTGTGGCAATTGACAAAAATCCAATAATGCATGGCCAGACAAAGCATATAGAAATAAAGCATCACTTCATTCGTGATTTGGTAACTGCAGGAAGTGTGCATCTTATATTGTGCAACACATCAGCCCAACTTGCCGATCTATTCACAAAACCATTGTCTGTTGCAAGATTCGAAGAACTTCGCGCACGCCTTTATGTTACCAAATTATTAATCCCGATTCAAAGCGTTTATTATTATTATTATGATTATTATGCGTCGGTTTGTAAAGGTGTCAGTTTCTCCTCTATTCTTTGGTATTGGTATTTTATTTGAGTGGTAGTACAGTGTACAAAATAATAAGAAAAACCTTTTGATTCTACTTTTCCTTTGCAATTGTTGTTTGAATTATTCAAATTCCAACAGTTTCTAGATATTTTTTATATTTTTTTAATCTTTTATAATATTTATTTATTTATGTCAATTTATTCTAGATTCTTCTGTACATTTTGTATGTGTATTTTCTTCGGAAATAATTTACCTAATATTCCAATTCAATACTTTCAAATAGTACATGTTATAAAATTTTGGTCCATGAGATTTATGTTGAGACCGATATTGTTATCCACACACTAAATACACACAAACCTTCAATCTGTGGCCCAATTTGAATCTTGGCCCGATTCTTTACTTAGCCCTTCGCCCCGGACACGCCAACTCGGGACCCGGTCTTTGTTATCTGAGATGTCTCCATTACCGTCCGATCTAGGGATTACATCTGGGCCATTGATCTAGTTTTAACCTTCAATATATAAGGTTGGATACGGAGGGGCGCCGCAGGGTGATACACACATTCACTCATATCCTCACTCACTCTCAACCTTACTCTCTTTGCCCTCTCTCTAAGAATCCACCATCACGATGCTGTTCTGATCTTCGACCACCATTAGTGAAGTTTTGTTGCGCAATCCTACACATGCAGGAATAAATCAACTTCTCCCACTCTAATCGTGCAAAAATACATCATACAATGAAAATGAAAACCATTACATACAACTGTTAAAAATGTATCACATCTGATGCGACAAGAGAAGAAATTACACCAAAGAAGCCTGACATCTGCATGTATTTTCAATTGCAGTGACATGAAAAGACTAGTATACTAATCTTCTTGATCAGAAATTGAAACGATATTTATTATATTTCAGAATCTTAGAATGGTATAAGCAATGGAAATATTCCAATAGATGATATTGATATTTCTTTCTACGAAATGAAAAAGGTATCTCCAGGACTCACCTAAAGTAGTTGTTCTTTTAATATCCAAATAAGCATGATGATCCCCGATGGTAATGGGAGAATCCTAGCCTGAAGGTTTTATCAATCTTTCTCATGAGAAACGATACAAAATCATAGCTAATTGAACCAATAAGTCGACGAAGAATTGTCAGGTATGCAGAAATTTTAACACCCATGTCAGTTTTAAACATTAGCAATGCCAGAAAATTTCATTACAGAGAACTATCAATCATGCATGATAGAAATTTCATTGCTATGTTGCTTTGTATGGAAGTATTAGAAAGGCAAAGGCCTATTTTCAACTGTTGAGCTCTTGTTAAATATGCTGATTTTGCATGTAGCGATTACACTACTTGCATCGTTAAAGAAATAATTAACAAATTGCACAAAAACAAAAAGCATTACTTTCCAAGCAGAAAACGACATTAGTGGAAAACTTTCAAACGCAGCCAATCATTTATAATTGAGTCACTAGTTTTCGAAAAGAATTTTTTATTTGAATTCAAACCGTCAATCAATTATAACTGAGTCATGCATCATATTAGAATATAGAGAGTATACGCATAATATTAAATTTAAATAAGTATAATTTGTAATGCAATTTTCCCCAAAATTTTCGTCATTCGAACAACCAAATTATGGAGAAAGCATCATAGTAATCATCAAACTTAAACAGGTAACAACCCCTTGCCAAAAGATATATGTTTCTGACGAAATTGTAATTGTCTAACTTGCAAACATACTCGAGCAGGATCATCCCTCAAACATGATCTTACAACTTTGTCCACACATTCATCGCTCAATACTAGCAACAACAAAGAATACATTGCCATTATGGATCATTTTTATTTTTTCAAAAGACAGTTGATTTTCATTGAGGTTTTTGCGTTTGTTCTGGTTAGATTTACGGACACCACGACCACATCAGAACTAACATTTCTGCTGCATTAGTAGACATATCATCCCTTGTTTGTGCCCTTTCAGTTTTTAAAGATGGCACCTGTAAGTCATATGGAACATTCCGTTCGATGAATCAATTATCATCATCGTCGTCACTCTCCATGGACTCTGGAGCTTCGAGGTCTATATCCAACGGCGCCTTAACACTGACCCTTTCTCTACTAGAGTCTGCTACCTGAAAATCTTTGCAATCATTAGCAGAGGAGTTCTAATCAATGAAGACTTGCACGGACACAAGCACTCTGATCTTATTTCTCCAGATTATCGACATTCAGTTCGTCAGCAGAAACCTGATCCGGTTCGCAGGCTGTGTTTATGTCGATCATTGATAACAGAAAAATATATTTGTTGTTGTAGGTTGTATATCACTTCGCAGGGAATTTTATTCGAAAATCAATGAGTAGAGTTTTTATAGAAGAATGGTTAGATATAGCAATTGTGCGGTTGTAGACCCTGGATAGTTATCACAATTATTTATACTCTTTTTACTGGTGAGTTTCCAGGTCGAACACAGGGATTTAAAGTCATGAATTTCAATGGTAAAAATCTTGGAGAAGCGATGAAGAAACAAAAAGGGGAGTCCGCTTGGAGCGGGCCTAAATCTTCTACTCTGAAAGCGGTAAATAAAGCAGTAAAAGATGAACGGGGGCGAGCGAAGCGAAAGCGAGAGGATTGGGATGTGAGTGAGCGGCATGCTATATGTATATGTATATGAGCGAATTAGGGTGAAAAAGAGGTGTTGTGTCTGAACTGTGCGTTACGAAATGGGTAGATTTCCCTGGATGCAGCGAGCGAATGACGTAATTGTGTTATCGGAAGCATATATGTATATTACGAAAATGATGATAGAAAGATGTTGTAATTATATAAACTCGATTATAAAGAACTCATCACACTGGTATTTTGGCCTGGGGGGGATTTACAACAAGACTTCAATGACACCCAGAATTAAGACATTATAAGAAAGAAACCCTACTGTCACTAGGAATTTCTGCGACCTAATAGACCCCCGTCTATGTCCCGTTAATTTTCCCAATTCTGCCTCATTAGTGGCTTTACCCCCTGATGCTGGTACTATTTTATCAGAATCAAATTCAGCGCAGTAGTTAAGTAGGTCGACAAGGCTCCCTCGTACTTAACTACGTTGAACTACCTTGAGACCGCTTTTGGCGCATCACAAGGCTTAATTAATCAATTCGTCTCTCGCTCTATACCAGTGATATGAATTTCTCTAAAATTGATTTATATAAGTATGGAAAATTGTGGAGGAATTTAATTTGAAGAAGTGAATGATATTTCTTTAATATACTACGAAAATGCGAAAAGGATTAGACTACAAAGCTGTAAATGAAAGCAGTAATCTAGTCTAAGAAAGCATTAAAGACGTGGCCAAGGGAGAGGGAAGACGCCCACTCCCTTGGCCTTTCCTGTGGAGAACTCCCTTACAGGGTTGGAGCTCTCGGAAACAGGAAGACAACGAACGCTGTGTGTATTCTGAAAATTGTCCAAGAATTCGATTCTTTTTTACATACAGATATCTGGCCTTATTTATAGCAGGTGTAACGAGATGGTTGCAAGAAGCTGTTGGGCAGTTCCAACCGCTGGGCAGTTAGGCAGTTGCATGTGGTTATTCTGTTGAAGCAGTTGCTGGCCATAACTCCCAGGGTGTCCGCTTCGCTTGCGTTGATGGCACAGATCTTCCTCGCTTGCTGGAGAACAGGAGGGCATCAGCATAGCACGGCTCGCTTGAGCTAGCTGGAATTGGAATGGCTGTACCGCTGCATTTGAAGTACTTAGTCGAAATCTGGTGATAGTCTGCAGCGGTGGGTATCTGGACTGTAGTTTGCAAGCGGGAGAGGCTATCGCTTGCGGCTATGAAGGTGGCCGCTTGCCTCTCATGCCTTAGTGTTTTCAAGGTGTGTCTTGGTCGCTTGCGAGCGAAGGCGGCTGTCGCTTGCGGCGTCTGCCTTAGCTTTTCTGGCTCCAGAATACCGCTTAAGAGGGCAAAAATCGTTAATAGTCTCAACAACGAATTCTGGATCATGCCTGGTGATATAAATCAATATTGTATGCCGATTACGAATTATTTTGATGGTTCTTATGCAGAAATTCAAGTAACACACATTTTTGTCAATCTAAGAATATGCTCATATTTGGAGTCATCAAACCTCCTCACACTAAACCTTTGTTCGTCCTCGAACAAACTGCATTAAAGGATCAAGAGGTTATTCCGTTCACGGAAATCAAGAAGTGCTAATAACCAGTGCCATGATTGGGAGTAGAGTGAATCTCAAATAATAACAAGTGAACCACAAGTATTCAGCATGTCATTTGATTTAACGAGATTGGAGTTGTCCAGGTATTGTCAACTTTGTTCGCTTAGCAGAGATTCTTTTTTTGATCTAGGAAACCTTCAGCCGAAGGGCGTGGAGAATATATATATATATATTTTTTTTAAAATCGTGAGTTTCAAACAAACATTGTGTCTGCTCATGATCTTATTAGGTTCTCGCACGCCTAGGCCTTTTCAGTTCCTTTGTAATGATAGGTCCTCCCTGCTTCGCTTGCATCGTATCTTAAACCAAATTTAAGGACTTCTCTTTTCAAGTTATGCCTTATGAGCAAAATCGAAAAACCTGGTCACTTGCCTTACTGAGTATGGAAAGTTGAAACGAAGGGGGCACTAGTTTTTCACAAGTCTCTTTCACTGTTACTTAGTCTAACACTAG